ATAAAAGTTGCAAGAAATTTTTAATAAGGTTAACAAGAATGATTACACTATCATAGCATATCTGAATGCAAGAGTGGGAAACACTCCAGTAAATAAAAATATTGGAACCTTTGGAGAGAATACTCGTAACAGAAATGGTATTATGGTATTAGACTCATTGATTTTGTTGTTTATAATAATCTTAAAATAATGAATATGTTTTATAATCATAAAAATATACATAAATATACTTGGCAATGACAGCAGTCCAAGTCAATCATTGATTATTTTATTGCTAATGAAAAAAATGTCAAAATTATTCCTAGATGTCAGATCATACAAAGGATTTGAAGTAGGCTCTGATCACTTCCTAACCCAAGCATAATTAAGAATCCCACCAAGGTGGCCAAAAAAGAAACCAAATGTTAGACATGAACCTAAATGAAAATTTAAAGTTAAAATTATTATATGATGATTGTATCAAATTGTTATATACTAGAAGAATTGAACAACATATGGAGAGAATTCCAGAAGACAGAGATATAGAAAATGAATGGGAAAATATCAAAACAATAATAAAGGCAGCAGCTGATGAGTCTCTGGGCACAGTAAAAGTCAATTCCTGTGAAAGAAGTAAATTAAAAATATGGGGCAATGAAATCAAACAACTAATATTACAGAAAAACACAGCATATAAAAAATTTTTAAGCAGTAAAAAAGCTGAAGATGCGATAGAATACAAATGCTGCAGAGCAATTGCAAAAAGAGAAATAAGGAAATAAGGAAAAGACGACGACAATCATGGACTAAATTTATTTCACAACCAGAATCAGATCTCTACAAAATAAGATCAAATGCCTTCAAAATATTAAAATTTATGAATCAAGAAATTAAACAACCCATTAAGATTAATTGTGGTATGACAAATGACCAGTTTCTTAATTATTATCAAACACTTTGGACAGATCCTACATATACTAACAAGATTTTTGAAAGCAACAATCAAAATAGGACTGAATTATCAAAGGAAGAACTAAATAGGTAAATGTCTCTTCAATCCGAACAAATTTTCAGTAGACTTTCTCACAGCTCTGAAGCATTGAAGATTGAAGAGACATTTACCTATTTAACACATAATACAGCTTCCATTAGAAAATTCATAAAGGAAGAACTGTTTGAAAGTTTAACCAAAACAAAAAATGGAAAAGCAACAGAAGATGATGGCATAAATGGAGAGTTATACAAATATGCTGGTGATAAATTCCACAAGAGATTATTAACATTCTTCAATAATATATATATATATACTAGCTGCAAGGACCCGCATCGCTGGGTTTTTATTTGTATGTAATATAGTATGTAATATATAAAAGACTGTTTTTCTAAGTAATCTAGAATCTAGCTGCAAGGACCCGCTTTGCTGGGCAAAAAGTAACGATAGTGAAGATTAAGATAATTACATTATAGCCAATCTTACCCGTTTTCACAGAATGCAAGAATTAGGTCCCCCGTTTCCAGACTAATTAGAGAATTTTTACGTCCAGTNGTTCAGAATAGTTGCATCGTAAAATAAAAATGCCGTAAAAATTCAAATAATAGCTTTAATTTTAAAAACTTTTAAATTAAGAACGAGCGGCGATGTACTGATACCCCCCGATTTATAAAAGTATAGCTAGGCCTGTAGCATTTAGGCCCTATAGATTTTATAATAAAGACCTAAATAAATTTAATTCTAAAAAGAAAAAAAAAACATATATATAAAATAAATTAATACATTTATAAAAATTTAAATATTTACGATCAGTCCATATATATATAATTAAGGAAGTTTGGAGAAATTTTCTCTTTTTCCATCTGTTAAACGACTTTTATTAAATACATAATTATATTCAATATATTACTTTTATCATTATTAAGATTTATAGTTGCTTGCGTCAATTTTAAAACAATTAATTCAGCGGCATTTAGTTATCTTTTCTCTTTTTGCTTCCTGTTTTTGAATTGTTTGGACACAAGACATGGCTTTAATGAGAGGCAATTTACAAAGAACACTTAATGAATAATAAAACATGTTTTGTTTATTTATATGTATATCAGAAGATTTATAATGAGATGTTTAATTAGTGTATAGAAGGAATATATATATATATATATATATAAAGATGAACAAGCCTGTATACTGTTTGAATGAAAGAAGAATATTGTGCTGCCTATTCATAAAAAAAGGAGATAAATGAAAATTAGATAACTACAGAGGCATTAGCCTGCTAAATACCTGTTATAAAATATATGCTAGAATTCTAAATGAATGATTAAAACAAGAAGGTAAAAAATTTCTTTTAGAATATCAAAATGGATTATGAAAAGGCAGATCTTGTATAGACTCAACTTTCTCCATTAAATTATTACTAGAGAAATGAAGAGAATTTAATCTGAATACACATTTAGCTTTTATAGATATATACCAAAGCATTTGATAAGATAAAAAGACCAAAACTTTTTGACATCCTACAAAACAGAAACATACCAAATATTTTAATTCAAAATATATGTAATATTTATGAAAATAATACCATACAACTTAAGTTCAACAATGCCACTTCAGAATATAGAAGAATAAATCAAGAAGTAAGACAAGGATGTCCATTGTCACCAACACTTTTTAACATCTATATAGATGACATAATACATCAATTACAGGAAGAATATATGTTAGGAATTCAACTTTCAAACAACATAAAATTCTGTGGTGAGCACATGGACGAACAATACAATGAAAGTTGTCTACAATAAAAGTTTTTATTGTTGGTTTGTGCAGTTTTACATATACAAAGTTATTTCAGATCCCAACTCCAATATATACGATTTTCATAACATATACTTCTATTGGTACAAGGGAGTGACACTGTTTTTTCGCGACAATGCAAGATTTTTCTTAGCCTACCTTAACCTAACTTATATACTAATGAAGAAATATAGAAAGAAAGAGTTAAAATTAAGATTTTAGATTAATAAGAACAAGACAAAGTTGCTGGTGGGGTACCCGTATTTCCTTCCTTCCTTCATACTTCGCTAGTATCCAGGTAAAGACTTTTCCTGATTTTCCTTCCTTTCGTCTCTTCCGTTATTTCTCTCTCTCAACGTTCTCAGATCATTCAGTTTCTCTCTGGTTTCGATGACCAGGACTTCCTTCTCTACCTGTCTGTCTCCTTCGAATGCTAGCTTCAGAATGCCCCTCTTTTTCTCTGACTTGCCTCAGGGTCTCTTCCACACCCTTGTTTTCCGTTGTATTTCTCAGAAACGTTTTTACCACCAGCAGGGAGGAAAGATTGTTAGAAAGTTTGAGAAAGTTCATAGACAAAAGACTTAAGAAACTTAATATTAAGTTTAATACTAAAGACAAAATATATATACATTTGGTGGATCACCACAATTCAATACCAAACAACATAAAATTCAGTACTATTTGCCGATGATCAGGTGGTAATTGCTAACTCTGAAGATAATTTACAAAAAGGTTTATTTACCTTAAATAAAATTTCAAAAGAATATGCATGAAAATTTCAACCAAAGTAATGGCATTTAGAGGCACAGAGCCAATACATAGCAAAATCGTAATTGAAAATACAATTTTAGAGCAAGTTAATAATTTTCTTTATCTAGGATGCAATATTTCTTATGAAGGTGAGAATGACATCTTTCCCATGTGGAAGTGAAATCTGGGTCTTAAAGAAGAAAGATATCAAAAGATTACAGGCAGCCAAAATGAGGTTTATGTGTCAAACTGCTGGATATAAGCTCCTGGATCATCATTGAAATGAGGATATTTTGGAGGAACTCCACATGAGGCCATTAATTGAAAAACTCTGTACATATAGAGAAAAATGGCTTCAATATGTATCTCAAATGTTGCTGGGTAGGATATTTCTTGCAGTTTTACAGTACAGTAATACCCCAAACTTACGCGATAGGTGGGACCGAGCGATAACCACGTAAGTCGGGGTATATTTTCGCAATTTGTGTAAAATCCAAATCTGATGTATGTAAGCTAATAAATGTTCTCGTTAACTTTATTTCGCCTTTTGATTCATTCACGGTTACAAGAAATCACCACATAGAGTCTCTCAAGTATCCATAGATATAACAAACACAGAAATAAATAACACAAAATAAATTGTAGCTATGCGTCGATTCCGCGCGGCACGTCTGAACATGTAAGCTAAACAATAGTGTGGAGGGAGTGAGTAATCAAGAGTTGCGTGGCATTCAAACAAAAGACAAATCGACGAGATTTGAAAATCGCATAACTCCGGGTTCGCGTAAGTCAGGGTAGCGTAAGTCGAGGTATTACTGTATCAACCACGAGGACGACAACGATCCAGACTTCCACAAAAACGACTCCTAGACCCTGTCTAGCTGAGACCAAAATGGGTCAACATGGCCTAAATTCGTGAATGGTGTATGATGATGATGGATAATGCAATTTTTATGGTTTCTTGCATGCTACAGCAAAATGATACTTTAATTTAAAAAATAAACATATTTTTACAGGATTTTATGGGTGATGAAATTTCAATGTCTGCTACTGATGCAATTTCAATTTCAATGAGTGTATTGCTTTCTTAAATATTTTCAAGTAGTCAACCCAATAATTAGACAAATTGACATGACTGCAAAATTAACTGTTGTCAATCTGTGTAAACTGTTGACACTTTATCCAATAATCATTCTGCCTCCTACTGGGAAAAACTAACACTATCAAATTTTTCCATTAATGCAACTTTTCAAATTATGATACTTAAGTTAATGAGCTTTAATAAAGAAGAATTCTGAGTTTACATAAAGAAATTGCCATTTTGTTCATTATTTGCAAATTTTTTTTGTAAAATATATCTTGAAATAATATATTATTATCAAGATTGATTTTCTTTTTTAAATATTTTTTAATACTATATTCAAATAATTTTAAAATATTTTTACAGCTATGCAGTAAAATATAATTACTAGTCATTTTTTTTCAGCAGAAGAATATTGTGTCACACCTGCCTGTGTTACTGTTGCTAGTTCTATACTTAATGCTATGGACTTCTCAGTTGATCCATGTACTGATTTCTATCAGTATGCATGTGGTGGATGGATTAAATCAAATCCTTTGCCCGATGGAAAATCTCTCTGGGGAACATTTGGAAAATTGTGGCAAGAAAATCAACTTGTAATGAAAAATGTATTAGGTAAAATGTTATTAACAATAATTCAGAATTATAATGATTAAATAATCTTAAATTAATGATTTAATTTGATTTGTTTGTTTTTTTTTTAATTTTTTTCTAAATTCTTGATTATTTCCTCAGATGGAAATAATTGAGAATTTAGGAAAAATTTTTTAATATTGCATTAAAATAACAGGATAAAAATAGAACTTTTCATTTTGTTAAAAATAAAAGGTCTTAATTTTATAACATGAAGCTTTTTATAACATAAAATGGAATATTTTTAGTAGTGTAGTCATTTGGGAGAGACGTGCATTTTGTAATATTTGAAAAGTAAAACCTTCTCAATGACATGTAATACTGAACAGGTAACCATTTCTATGCTTTTTTATATATAGTAAGTAATCTGCATACATTTAGAAAGATAAGTAAATTATTAACTATTAAGTTGAGAGTTCTACCTTCCTCAGGTAGAACTCTCTAAAAAAATTGAATCTTTCTGGTGTTAGTGTTCTATTTTGGAATGCATATAAGACTCCAACATATTCAAATTTTGAATGTTTTCTTTTTTACATTTTTTTTTTCATTATCCAATCAGGTACACCTGCATTGTTTGCTATAATGTTGGGTAGAAGATTATAGCAAAGAATGATTTAAACAAAAGAACCAAGCTTTAATTTTAATGAACTTTATTGTGAATTATAATTTTGGCATAATTGCCAGAGGACATTTCTATCCATTTTGCATATTATTGTGGAGGTGCAGCCTCAAATGAAAGGTCATCTCATAACTAAAAATTGTTTTTGGATGTCACTGGTGTTTATAGTGACAGAACACAAAGACAATTTTGTACCTTTGGTAAATTTTATTTATATATATTTTAAGGTAAATACTGTTGGCCAAAATTTAATTTTAATGAACTTTATTCAACTTCAACTTAATACATAAAAATTTACGAAAAAAAAAATATCTGCAACTAAAAGTTAGTAAAGGTTACATACAGTGCTAACTGTCTGTATGGCCATCTGGTTACAAATTCTTTTATGTAATGTACCAATTTTTCATCCAACAATTTGTCATATGACTCTATATTAAGTTGATCCATAGTATTAATTAAAAGTGGCTCCCATTGGTGAAAATTGGTATCTGGGATTTGTGAGGGTCGTAAAAGCGCGTAGAAATTTCGACTAATTACAAACTTTAACGGCAGAAAGTTTCGAGGATAGAATCAGGTCAAGGGGATGTGTTAGTGACAAAGCCCAGATGAGACGAAAACTTTCTCGAATTGTAAAACAAACGCGACGCGACGATAAATAACAGGGGGGAATGTCGACAGAAGAGAGGGAGAGCTTTGTCGGGATGCGCGCGAACAAATATCGGGTCGAAGCAAGCGGGAGAAAAAGAACAAAAGGGATATCTGTTAAGTAAGAACGCGGTAGGGGATAGATGGCCACAAGAACATCTGGTGAACCGTTTGGGTTCAAAGATGACAGAGAAAAGGGACATAACGGAGTAAAATACGAGCGCGAACGTTAAAGGACCGTCATCACCTCTCCGACCTTTTCCCGACCCGAATCGGTCTCGGGTTTCGCCTAGAAACAAAGGAATGACCAATCGGGGTAAGGGAGAGGGTGAAAGGGACCAATCAAAAGGGTGAGATTCGGGGAAAATCTTATAAAACCCCCGAGTCTCAAGGACACGACGGCGATTCTCCTCAAAGACGAGTGCCAAGAAGATGCCAGGTCATCCGTACACGACCGTCCAAGCTTCTCCGCATACTCAGAGGAAGGAAGAGTGTATCCGAACACCGGACATCGCCCATTCTCCGTCGGACTCTTCTTCAAGGAAGCCCCGGGGCACTCAACAGCACCTGCCGGCCAACATTCCCAATTTTTGTTATTCATAATATGTAAGTTAACTTCATGTCAAAATAAACGGTTTTCGTGTAAGACACTTGTCATCTCTGTCTCCTACCGCCACCACCCACATATGGTTTGACCCTAGGTTTTCCTGACGAGCAATTAACGTATTGCCCCCAAAATCGGCGAACTTACAGATTCACACACTTTTTTTCCCAAATTGTCATTAATTCTATAACTTATTAACATTTATAATTGGCTGATAATTGGTCTAAGAAAATAAAAATAATAAAATATTCTTAATTTTAGATAATCAATTATTTTACTTTTTGAAAATAATTAAGTAATTAAATATGTGAGATCTGAGCCCTCAGATCTTTAGATTAAAATTACACTAACCTATTTTTAAAAGGGGCAGCAAATAACTATCTTGACCAGGGCAGCATAATTGCTAGTTTGTCCGCTGTACAGTACATAGATGGAATATCTTACAAAGTCTTGTTAAACTGCTCTGTAAGACCATTTATCTAAAGATGGTAAGTAATAGTCTTTTGATGGATGATATTGAACAGTTGGAAGACTCTTGGATGACTTTAGTGAGAAAGGAATGTTTTCAATCACTAATCAATTTTTATAGAGTCCCATGCTTAATAATGTCTTTAATCAGAAAATTTGATATTTTGACCACTGATACAGTGGTTTCCATTACATTATATAAAGTTACATTACTCCAAAAAAATCAATGCTGGTAGTGTTAAAAGGTTTATCAGGTTAAAAGGTAGATGCTTCTGATGTTGTAAATGTCAACAAGCTTGGATATATCACATTATATGTTGATTCATTCCTCTCCAATAATGATATGTTAATATGCAATCACAGGTAGACATATTCAAAGTATGGATTGTCACGATTCAATTGTCCACTTTTTGCAAGGACAATTAGCTTTTTCAAGTGTGCTGTTTGTGTGTCCACTGTATTTGACATTTGTCTGCTTTTTTCACAGATGCTTTCAATTATCAAGCTTTAAAGTAATAAAATCTACACCTTATATAAATGTCCAGCAAACAGAATTTGTATAACAAATCTTTTCAGTATAAAATAAACTGAAAACATTTGTTATACAAATTCTGCTTGTTGGACATTTGTATAAGGTGTGGATTTTATTACTAGATAGTATTTCCAGCTGTAATCTTGAAATATTTTAAGTGTTATTTCATGTTATACTTTTGTTTTAATAATAATAATATTTTATGAATTTTTTAAAAGAGTTAGATGGTTTTTCTTCAAAAAAATATAATAGCTTTTTTTGACATACATTGGATGATTTGTTTCCAAATGTTTTTGAGAGTTGAAACCTGCAGAAGTTCTGCCACAAATTATACAAATTGATAAATGCCCACAATTTACTTTCATACATGGAAATACATATTTTAAAAATTCTGCAACATATTTTTTTATTACAAATGTTGCTTTTTGGATAATTTTTTTTCATATATTAGAATGATATTATTATTAAACACATACAATCATTAAATACTCAATTGATAAGCAATTGAGTTTTGTCTTTATTTTTTAATTTCTTTTAAACATATTAAGTGTACAGTAGAACCTCACTTAACGAGTGCCTTGCATAACGAGCAAAACAAATAGTGAAAAAAAAAATGACTTGCTTAACAAGCGACGTTTTGCATAACAAGTGACAAGGAGAGGGGAAGTCCTGGATTGTGTGCATGCTCCATCAGTTTGTGTTTAGCACTCATTCTGCTAGCATCTTATAAACTCTGTTATGTAACCGTATCCATGTTCGTAAATGTTTGCTACACTGAATATCTATAGCAATAGTTATAAAATATCGTAAGGTCATTTCCATATCCTTTAAGGAACAAACTTTTTTTACGGCTTACGAAGCAGTCCATTGTGAGAATGCGCAAAATCATTGGCTGATGTTGCCAGATCTAACACTATAATTATTTAATCATTTTTCTATTTTTTTATGACCAAAGTAATTCTTATCTTAAAATTTTATATTGTTCAGAAGTAGCATTGTCAGTCAAAAGATATGTTTCAACCAATTTGTTGCTTCCGTCACAGCTTCCGATTGTATAGTGACTGACTTAGTGCATGCGCAGTTCGTCACTTCGCTGTATCCCTACCGTAAGTTTGGTCAATCCAAACTTTTCTTATCGTATACGATACTACCATATAGTTATGTTATAGAGTTNTTATCTTCTGATAGGCCAGTATAAGTAAATCCGGATTTAAATTTATGTATAATAAACAATTCAGCTTTACAATCATAATTGAACTTTTGAATATAAATTTAATTTCAATTTAATAAATGTAGATGTTACTTCATTATAAAAGACCAAATCTGCCCTAATTCGTATAGTTAATAAATAAAAAGTTTAATTTTATGGGTTGAGTAGTTAGGATGTTTATCATTGTATACGTGAATATGGCGGAAAAGGAAACGTTGAATAGTTTAAAAAGAGAAGGTCAAGTTGAAATAAAATTTCACTTTTTAATTGATGGTATATAGGAACAAACTTTTTTTATGGTTTACGAAGCAGTCCATTGTGAGAATGCACAAAATCATCGGCTGATGTTGCCTGATCTAACACTATAATTATTTATTCATTTTATCATTTTTCTATTTTTTTATGACCAAAGTAATTCTTATCTTAAAATTTTATATTGTTCAGAAATAGCATTGTCAGTCAAAAGATACGTTTCAACCAATTTGTTGCTTCCGTCACAGCTTCCGATTGTATAGTGACTGACTTAGTGCATGCGCAGTTCGTCACTTCGCTGTATCCCTACCGTAAGTTTGGTCAATCCAAACTTTTCTTATCGTATACGATACTACCATATAGTTATGTTATAGAGTTTATAACTCAACCCTTAATGTCACTTGTGATCACACATTTTTCCAAACTTGTGTTCAGTCATATTACATACAAGGGTTGTCCCAAAAGTAAGTTGGCTCTAACTCGAAAAATATTTATTGAAGAAGATAAGTGATTACAGGCCTTCAAAATGGTCCCCTCTCTTATCAATGCACACTTACCAGTGGCACGGAAGTGCTTGGATTCTGTTCAGCATCCCCTTCTTATTGAGCATCTGAATCTGTTGGGTCACTTCTCTTCAGAGCTTTTCCAGCATCGGAAAACGCACCATCTGAAGGGGTTCCTTCAGCTTGGGGAAGTCATGTGGGCTCAGATCAGGACTATAAGCCTGGTGGCAGAGCTGTTCCCAGCTGCATTTTTTGAGAAGTTTGATGATCTGTGCACTGATGCTGCCACCTATTGTTTGCCTAACACCTGTGTTAAAATACAATATGTGCTCGTTTTTGAGATACCTGTCTCCGCCTCAATTTCTCTCACTATGATTCTCCAGTTTTCATTANTATTATATTTAATTCATTAAAGTGATTACTAATTTAATGGTACAGTATTTATATATTTGGATCTGAAGTGGATTAGTTCTAAAAAATATTTCATCGTTCCCAGCTGCATTTTTTGAGAAGTTTGATGATCTGTGCACTGATGCTGCCACCTATTGTTTGCCTAACACCTGTGTTAAAATACAATATGCGCTCGTTTTTGAGATACCTGTCTCCGCCTCAATTTCTCTCACTATGATTCTCCAGTTTTCATTAAGCAACATTGCAATGATTGAAGCGTTTGTGTTGTCAGCTGTTACAGTAAACGGCCACCCCACGCGGATCATCTTCGATGCTTGTTTGATCTTCTTGAAACTTTGTGTGCCACCTCTGTACTGTGCTATGATTCACAGTAAACCTTCTACATGCTTCTTTTAACTTGGCATGAATTTCGGACACTTTTTTACTGTGTATTGTTTTGATGTGAATATACACACGTTGCTCTATTGCTGAAATTTGATCCGATGGACTGTTCTCGTTGTCTTTTCGAAATTTTGGCATTTTCCCTTTAAACAAATTTCACTACCATATGATATCAACATGTTTGTAAGACTTCAATCTACACACTGACGCTTCAATCAGCTGTCCACGTTGCCTACAACGCCTGCTAGAGTGTGCTGTGCATTACTTTTGGGACAACCCTCGTATAAACATCAACAACCATAGCCCATATGTAATAAATGCGCCAAACAATATGCCAAATTCTTGGGTTATATAAAGGCTATAATTAAATGCAGTATAATTTTCTTTGAATACATGTTATACATAGAATATTTGAGTATTTTTTCAGCGTGGAATCCATTATCATATTTTACATTCATTTATATGAGAAAAATTGTTTTGCTTGATGGGTATTTTGCATTACGAGTAAGATTCTGGAATAAATTATGCTCATTAAGTGAGGTTCCACTGTATATGTAACCATATAAGAAGAATTGGTGTTTCCAGCACTCTTATATTTGGGGTGTAAGTGAGATCAGGGCCCTTATATTTAGGAACTGCTATTCTACATTATACTTTGATAGTAAATTGTGAATACTACATTTCCATTAATCTTTGTTTTATATATTGTTCTAAATTATGTAATACAGTTGTCCCTTGATAATCCGACAGGTATGGGACCAAAGGTGTGTCAGATTACCAAAAGTGTCTGGATTACCGAAAATAATTACATATTTCGCATTGTTTTGCTAGCAGTAACTTACAATATTCTCTACTCCAACTGTTCGAACAGAACTGCTCACATAAAACACACGAAATGTGTGTCATCGAGTAAGAATTGGATGGGGAGATTCACATCACGACATGCTTCTGTGCAAGCAGACACGTAACGGGGACGGGTACCTTGACGGGAGGTGCGTCGGACTACTGAGCATGTCGGATTAAAAAACGTCGGACTATAGAGGGACAACTGTATTGAAAAAACAAAAATTCACAATTGGTCTATAAAAAATTTTCTTCTTCTTTATGAGTTTTTAACCTAATATTCAGTTTAGGTGTTCTATTATTTTTAAACTTAAGTATAAAGTTTTTATTTGTATCACTTATATTATTATTGTTATACATTTCATTAATTTTTTTAATTAATTCTTTTTTAATTTTACAATATAGATTATTATTCAATCTTATATATTTATTGTAATAACCTATTTGATCAATAGTTTTACTTATTAGATTCTGGTTATCTATTATAACTAACTGTTTAGCTTTATCTGCTTTAATTACTGACAATTTGTTTTCTTTAAAAAATTCTATTATATTTTTAATAATGCCTTTATGTTGATAATTTTTCTTTTTATATCTATTTTTATTTTTAAATTCTTGTTTTAAACAATTAAAAACTATAGATATTAAGTTTTTTTTATCTTCTTTTTTAATTAATATATCCTTAATACTTTTATCCAACTCTGCCATAATATCAATTGACACATAACTTAATGATAAATTATGTTCTAATTCCAATGCCAAGAAATTCTGAATATATTTGGGTATCACTTTATTAGATTTATTCACTACTAATCTATTCATCCAGTCATTTTTATCTTTCAGATATAGATATGAAAAAAATCTTGTGTAATTTTAGTTCTTTCTTATATTTATAATTATCTGCTATTCCTACAAATGGATTAAAACTATAAGAATTTCTATTAAGTAATTTCCTTAATTGATATATTAAATTACTCCATTTTTTACATTTAAATCTAATTACAGAATTAATTATTTTCCTCTCAGTTTTCCACACTGCATGTCTAGGAATAATGTTCTTTATCGATTGTTTTAATTTTAATGTGTTAGGCATAGTCTCTTCCTTCAAAAAACATCTAAGATAGTCCATGTCATGTTTAAGTATTTCCACTTGTTTCGTCATCTTTAATAGTACAGGTATTACAATTGCAGAATGATCAAAAGTATAAAATGAGTGCATTAAAATAAAATAAATTGTTAAATAAGATTATTATTTCTGTGCAGTTTAGACTATAGAATCCCATCAAAATTGACAAACACCACTACCTTTTAAAAAATTAAAAATTAAAAAGTCTTCTAGCAGTAGCCCAATGATAAAAATTAATAAATACATTTTTAAAAAATTGCTAGGATGAAAAATTGATGGACTTTTTAACTTTTTTGCGTTTAGAGGTGGATGAGTAGTCTTCAATAAAAGGTCGACACCGCCATGGAATAGTTATTGTCTCAATAGCGTGTGAAAGGACTGAATGATATGGACTCATCTTGTATGTATAGTCTATCAAGAAATATATTTTGTTCGTAAATGTGAATTTGTCCTGGCAAATTTTTAAAAACCACCACATTTTGATTACAATTTTGGCTATCAGCTTTTGGGGCAAACGTTGGCTGCTTTTAGTCACAATACCAGCTTTTTTTAAAGTTACAGATGGAGAGTTCAGACATATATGTATATACATGAGATAGAAAGAATCTGCAAACATTATTTGATTTTTTAAAGAGTCTGTAGATCTCAGTAATTTGGAAACTGCTGCTTTAGGACATTAATCATAAGTATTTATAATGAAAAATCGCAATATTATATTTAATTCATTAAAGTGATTACTAATTTAATGGTACAGTATTTATATATTTGGATCTGAAGTGGATTAGTTCTAAAAAATATTTCATCCATGATTAAAGTTTGTTTACTTCTATAAAAATAAAAGTGAATTTTTTTCTTTTCGTAATTAATAGCTAAATATCCTGTTTATATTAATCTTATATTTTTTCAAAAAGCTATTTTTCTTTCAGTTTGTGTCATTACATAGTAGAATGTCATGTATATTTTTAATAACTTTCATTAACATTATAGTATATATTTTGCTATTTTTCATTAATTTATTTTTCATTGCTAATTTTCATTAATTTTAATTATCATTTACATTTCAGAAAGTAACAAATCAGAGTTTAAAAGTGAATCTGAAAGAAAAGCTCGCACTTATTATTTTTCTTGTCTTGATAAAAATGAGACAATCGAACAACTTGGTGCTAAACCAATGCTGAACTTGTTAAATCAAGTAAGAATTTCATTTTTAAATATTTTAAATTCATTCATTCAGTTTTATATAATCTACAGTGGCAGATCAAGTCAAGTGGGGGCCCCAAGCGGTAAAATTTCGGGGCCCTCAAACTCAAGTTAGAAAAAAAAAAGTTTTAAGAGAACTCTCATTAAGTTATTAATAAAAACAAGTAATCAAAAATTGTATACCATAACACATTAAATAAATTTATTAAAAAACATATGTTTTACGTGAATTTTCATCTTGTTTTATTTCTTGCAAATTCGTCAATTATTTTGGCAGTATCAATACAATTTAAAATTTCCTGCTCTATATACAGAATGGCCATATTATTTAATCTTCTTTTCCCATTGTACTCCTTAAATAATGTTTTACACAATTTAAAACAGAAAATTCATTAGATAAGGGAATTGTTAAAAAAATTTCAATAATATTTCAACATTGGGAAATGTGCAAGACATTTCTTTGGCAGCTTGATAAATGTCTGGAGTGGTTTTTATGGTGTCCTTGTTTTTAGAAATATTAAAAATAGTCAAACTCATCTTCAAAAGTACAAACATCAATGCCATTTTTGTAAATATCCTTCAACTTTTTATCACATTTTTTTTTTCTTCTATTGATAAATTCCAATAAAAAATATTCAAAGAGGCTCTACAACAACTTCATACATCTGAGTTCTTTGAGATAGTTCTGCCTTGGTTTTATCACATATGACATAAAATGAATTGATTATGAAATTTTCTCTTATTGTAAATTCATGCCCGACATCTTTGTTTTCATTATCAAAAAACATTTTTCTCTTTTGTTGTCTGCAAGTTTGTCCATCTTTTATATTAAATGATAGCCCTGATAAATCAGTTGCTTCTTTTTCAAGTTTTTCAAATTCTTTTTTGAAATTATTGATAAAATTTTCTAATGACTTCAGTAGGATAGATCTTTTTAACAGTTCGCACTCCACTGATTGCAGCGATTGACTAGTAGCAATTATTCTTTGTAAAATAGTATTCCAAATCACTGTCATTAGGGCGTTTCGTATTTGTCCATTTCTTCAGAAGTGAAGTCACCTCCACTATGGTAACTTTCTTTTCTTTATCTGAATTATAAATTTCAGTTAAAGCCTCTTTTATATGGGTGAAACCAAGTTTTATAGCTAATACAGCATCTGCTCTTGCTAACCATCTTTTCACTGAGACAGAATGTTTACACATTTGTAAATTTCTGGTTAAAACTTTCCAACAATGGGTTGATGCAGAAAAAAATGTGAATAAATTCTGCACAAACAAAATATTGAATTACAGTGCTACAACTTTCTGCAGCGAAATTTCCAATTAAATTTAGAGAATGATTAGCACACGGAATAAAAACTGCACTTGGGCTATATTCTTTAATACATGCTTGCAAACCTGAGTACTTCCCTGACATTGACATGTAAGAAGCATTATCAAATGATTGTCCTCAACAGTTTTTAATAGCCACTCCTAATTTTATTAAAGTTTGCAAAACTTCTTGCTCCAAATATGAAGGCATGTGTTTATCTATGGGAATGAATTCATAAATCTTTCCTTTATATTACTACAGATGAAATATACCTTATCACAAAAGCTAGTTGATCAACATCCAAAACATTGGGAGTGGAGTCAACAATTATACTATAATAAGTCGCAGATTTGATTTCTTCAATTATTTCTGCTCTTACTTGATTAGCAATAAGACCTACAAATTCGTCACAAATATTATGAGATAAATAGTTTACATTTCCTTGTCCTTGGTTGGCATATTTTTGTAGATGTAACTTCAAGAACTCATTGTATTTACTTAGGGATTCCAAGCAGGTTAAATAATTTCCTTTCCTATTGGAATCTTTGCTTTCTTTGTGACCCCTAAATCATAATCCTAAACGACTCAATAATTTTATTGTTGATACAATTCTTTTCAATACATCTCTCCAATAACATTATTCTTTTTCTTTTTTCTGTAATAGTTGAGTATCAATTCTATTGAATTTTATTGATTATAAAAGATCAACAAAATTCAATTAATAGAATTGTGTGCAATTAGTAGAAATGTGTACTATGTATAAAAACATAGTACACATGGCTGATATGTGTTCTTTTGAAACTTCATGGTCCAATAAAATAACAATAATTAATCTCCTATTTTGCAGACCAGTTATTTAATTTAGACTTTGATGTTGAAAAGAGTTTGCAAGGGTAGCAGTAAACACTTTTGCTTGTTTCTGAAAATACCAGCCAATTTCTCTTTTCCATAATTATATTTGATTTCTTTCTGTAAAAATGAGCATAAGAAAGTCCTCTGTAATACACTTCATCTCTGTCTTTATACATTGATTTCAAATTCTCTATATTCCTGATATTTTTTGGTTTGATTTTAAGAATATGATCAATAATAGCATCTGTTAATATTGTTGGCAATAAAGCTATATCATTTATTACTTCTATGTCTATATTGAAGTGTCTTTCTGGACTATCTCTATCGTCAGCATTTTTGCAATCCCTTTTTTCAGTAGCATTTTCAACCTCCTGATTCTCAACTTGTTCTTCTTTCCCTTCTTCACTTATGTGATTCAGAAGTTTTGAACATAGACAACTCAGAATTATCTGATGTACTGTAGATGTGGATGGCAACACTGTATCAGTATTTTTTACTATTAAAAATTTATCCAATGAATTTCTTTGGCTTTCAGCAATTTCTACATTTTTTTAAACTGTTTTTACTTTCCTGCCCCAGTTTGATATCTCTTAATTTTTTTACCATGAAGAAAAACAGTTTTTTTGTAAAATAGTTTAGAACTGTAAAGGAATTGACAAATTTTGAGTAAAAAAATAATTTACAAAGTAATGATATTAAATTTATATGAGAAAATACTTTATGAAAAACAAAACAGCAGATATTAAACTTAAAGTAATAAGTTACCTTTTCTCCTTAGAGCAGTGATTCTTAACCTTTTTTAAGTTCCAGAAGAGTTTTGAATATATGAAAAATTTGTGGAACACAAAAATCACTAAGGTTATAAAATAACAACAAAAATAAGCACAAGCATATCTTTTTATTATTCCAGTCACTGCTAAAATGACCTGGAGCATGACCTTTCCACATCTTTTCCTTTGGACATCCCAGTCAAGAATGTTCATTGCTACTCCAACGTAGCCCTCAGGGCTTCTTTCTTTTCTTTTGTTCTAAGGATTGGTCATCACAACCTGAGGAGAAAGGGTTAAGAAAGAATATTCTAGAAGGGATAGACAATGAAACAAAGAGTAAAGAAAGGAAATTGAACTAAATTAATATTAATAAATATACAAAATATGGCATACAGCCACTCCTGAAACACAAACAGCAAAGACCTCAGGGGCCCCTTCGAGGCCCTAAACAGCCGCTTAATCTGCTTACCACTTAATCCACCACTGATAATCTAATGCAGTGCTATTCAATCTATGGGTCGCAACCCCAAATGGGGTCATGGAAAATTACCTTGGGGTTGCACTGTTAAAATGTTTGAATACCATTGATCTAATGTATAAAATCTAACCACTACTTATCTAACAATTATTTTAACCAAATGTATTATATTTATTTACCTCTAAATGAAATAGAACATATTCTGATATTCCAAAGGATATACAAGGTATAATCAAAAAGTCCTCAGGCTGGCTTAATATAAAAAAACAAAGATAGTAAAAAACAAATTAAAGCTAGTTTTAAAAATCAAATGAACTTGACTTTACTGTAGGTGCAATAACAATCACTAGCAGTTTCAATATTTTTAGAAAATTCAATTTGAAGCATGTGAAAAAACATTTTTTTGGTGATTTTCAATGGAAAATCACCAAAACAATATTTATATATAACGACAGTGTAACAATGAACTATATAATATTTTTTTTTAAATTCAAATATAGACTGGAGGTTGGAATATTAGTGACAGTTTTGATGTTCAAAATTGGAAATTTGAAGAAGCACTTCAAGCAATGCATAATTTGTTTAATCGAGGTGGCTTGTTTACCTGGGGAGTTGGAGAAGATGAACGCAATTCTTCCAATAATATTATTCAAGTAGATCAAGGTGGACTTGGTCTTCCAACAAAAGATTATTATATAAACAAAACTGAAGATGATCCAGTAAGTAAATTAGAATTTATATACAGTAGATTTCTTCTTTTATAACATAATTAGTTCCTAGAAAAGAGTTATTAAATGAGATATGAAATTTTCCATATGCTTAATATAATTAATTAAAGTTCTATTTCTGGAAAATTTCATATCTCATTTACTTACAAAGACTGTACTGTAGTATAGTATAGTACTATGTAATTTAGCTTTTTAATAGCACTGTAATGTAGAATTTTATATGATCATGATAGGAAATCTATAAAAGAAGATATCAAAACAAAAATCAGTTGTATAAATATGATTTATAAAATATTATATACCTAATTCTCAATGAAATCAATCATGGTAGATTGGTTCCATGTAAAACTGAAAAAATGTAATTTGAGATTACATGGAAAATAGACAATTAGATTTCAGGGTTTCCTTTTTTTTAGTAACCAATATCATTTTATATTGGTTAATATTGGTTAGTGTAATGAAAATGAAATCTCATTTAATATTCTCTTTGTTTGTTGATAAAGAAACAATTTTCCTTTTCTTTTCTACTTGAAAATATTGTTTCTTCCATAACTAAAATTTTTTATTTACTTTTTTAGTTATTTTACTGACAATATTGACAATCTTAATAAAATTCATTATCAAAGCTTGTTTTTTATTTCTATCTAATTCTTTACAAATTTCATGATATTGAGCTATATAAAACAAAACTTTGTTGCATTTTTCTGACCTTGTTAACTGAAATTGTGCAATTTGAGTACCATGTAAATTGAGGGTTAGACACATATAATATGCAGAGAATAAATGCAGAGAATATTTATTTATTGATGTGGAGTGTTAGTGAAGAATTGCATTCTTTCTCAAAATCTGTTTGAATGATTTTGAAAAAACTTTGCCATTTTCCATTAATTACTATGAAGAATCCAAAAATTATCTATACTAATAGAGAGGTTGAGGCGCACATTTTAAACGTGTAAACATGTACGTGTGACGTTCAGCGCCGCTTTCCTGTAAGCCTAAAAGTTTGACGATGGTGTTTGAAATGTCGAGCGTGATTCCACCGACTATCCAAACACCATTGTCAAACTTTTAGGCTTACAGGAAAGCGGCGCCGAACGTCACACGTACACGTTTACACGTTTAAAACGTGCGCCTCAACCTCTCTATTATTATAAACAGGTAATGTTTGCAAGTAAATAAGTAAGTTTGGATGTAGCGTGTAATCTCCGAAACTACTCATCCGATTTCAAAAATTCTTTCACCAATATTTAGAATGGAACTTCAGGGTGGACATAGGCTGTATATTATTCCATTAAACATTCATATAAATTAAAAGATATAATCTAGGTTAAGGCTTTTATGTCCAACAGATGGCGCTATGAGTATGACACCCTAAGTTTGCTTTTCTGTGAGGCATTACGCTTTTCTGTGAAAATGAACTAAAGCGGATCAACTTCTATCTATCTGTATAAATAAAAATGTAATGTTCGTTTGTTCCTACCGATTCCTTTGAAATTTTGACACAACGCTGTATTTGAATACACATGTGTTTTTATATAATATACAGTACATGTCAAAATTCCCCCCACTGAAGGGAGATGGTTAGGATTAAGGCTTACCTTGAAGAACTTGGCTTCTATTATACTATTTTAGATGCGGGTTTTTGATTGCGTTTTAATAGGGTACGTTGAGAGAATGTACACTAAGAAGGGATTTTTCAAAAAATTCCCCCTCCCACAGGGGAAATGTTATACATTTATAATAGATACATTTTGAGCTACAACAACACATGGCGGAGTCTGCTAGTATAAAATATGGAGGTTCATGACTTTGTTTTCAAGATACAAGATCGTAACAGTTGCATGATGCATGTCTTCTATGTGCCTTATAGATTTAAGTTTGTTTTCAAAATTTGATGGGTTGATTTTGATAAAACTTTGCCATTAATTGCAACGAGGAATCAAAAAATGTAATAAATGTAAATATAGAAAATAGGGGTCCATGAATGTAAAGTGGGGCCAAAGTGACAATTTCTGTGCTCGTTGAGCTAGCCTAAGAAAATTTAGAGGGTCAGATAAAAAGACCGCATTGCATGCACCTAACAGATGATAGATGCAAAAAATGAACAGAACAAGAACAATTGGCAAGAAGAACTAAAAGCAATTGGCTTCAATTGCTTTTAGTTTTGGTTTTATTTGTATATGACAATGCACAACATGTGGGTGATCTGCCAAGGAGGAGTGCTTCTTGGGAGGTCTTTTATGGGAAATGGCCTCTATTTAGATATTGTTAACATGAAGAAAACCTGGAAAAATTCACGTAGCCGGCTTGTTGGCCATGCACAAATTCACATCCAACTACCAGTATTGAGTGGTTTTATCCACTTAGTTGCTGGTGGACATTGACATCTTGGATCACCTCTCCATATGGAAAAGTATAAGGATTGTCTCTGTGTGCCTGGCTAGTGCAAAAATTGCATCTTCTGTGGCCAGACACAAGGTACAATCAGGGTACAAGGATTGCATCTCCTGTGACCAGCAGATGCAAAGATAACCTTTTTCATGAAGGCAAGTGCAAAGTTTGATTTTCCTCAACTGTCAGGTACAAGGGTTGCCTTTTCTGTGTCTAACAAGTGCAAGAATCATTTTTTTCTTTGCGTCTCTGTCTCATTTCTCTCACAATACTGCAAAGTCATGCAATATCCTAGTTTTATATTATCCTTACGTGTACTATACAATTGAAACATTAGATCATAATAGATAATCATTGTTCAAATACTGGTAAAAGTTAATATTAAAAATATTCTCTTTTTCCTATGTTTAAATGATAGATTAGTATCTGTAATAAATCAAGTTGTTTTTATTAAAGCATATTTTTATTATTTTTCTGATCCACATTACATCAATATGGAAGCAAAGCTTGATTTGTTGATTCTATAGTTAGTGTTTTATTAGAGTAAACAGAAGTTGATAGTAGAATTATTATTTGCTAAACTGATTTACTGAAAAAGAAATAGCATGGAATATTACAGGTTTGAAAAACCTTGAGTTGTCAATAATTGGAATATCTGGAAATGTGTAATAAGAAATCTATGAGGAACTGAGAGAGCAAAAAACTTTGCAATAGTGAAATGATAAAACCAGAACTTTCCTGATAAGCAGCTTGTTTTTGAGGGTTAATTCTATCTATTGCATTAACCCTCAAAAACAAGTTGCTTATCAGGCAAGTCTTAAAATATGAGACAAAGCTATGGGATCTGCAAATATCTGTGGGGTAAATACAGTAGACCCCCCTATAATGCGTAGATACGTTCCACATTATAAGAATTTCACGTTGTCGGAATCTTTAAATACATGAGCCAATCACAGCCCGACACATGTGAAGTTTACGGACTGTGGCTGTTTGAAAGGTTTTCTTCCGTAAAATTAATCAGTTCTAGACTAATTCGACTCAACATTTCCAAAACACGTATAATTTTTTGGGAATAATCCATATAAACTATGCTATAAACAAAAAATTGTAGGATTACTTACCGAGTGTGCACCATTCGATGTCGCCATTGCTTAAGCTTGTTTTTGTCGCGGAGCAGTGCACCAAACGGCGGCCGCGATTTATGATAAGTTATTTTTCTGCGAAAACTTCGTTGAACTTTGGAGACATCATTAATATAAATAATTTTTATGGCCCTTGAATAAGAAATGTTTCTTTCACAAGAAATGTATAAAATTACAGTGCTGTATCAGACTTATGGTACCTAATTTACATACTGTATGGACGATAGTAAACTCAACTTACTTGCCTAAACTCTCCGTAGAGTGGCGCTAGACGGCAGAAAGTATATATATAATTATAATAAGGTTACAATAAATTAAGTTAATATATAATTATATATACAGTACCTAATTTATATATAATTTATATATAATTATATGTACAGTACCTAA